AAAGGCCAAATCACGGGAAAATCGTTCAATAAAAAACCGCCTCAAAAATAAGCTGATATCCAGTGTACGAAATAATTATGATAAGATCCCAAAAAAATACACGTTTCTAACTAAATGGCTATGATATCGAGCGTTCTAGATGTCAACCAAATTGAATGCAGAATGGAAAACAAATAAACATTTGAAGAGCCTATTCACGATAGGAATGATATAATTTATAATGCTGTGACTTCGCCTGAGACCGCTCGACTAGCTCTACTAGAATAAAAGTTTGAAATTATGAAAATGTATCAATAAGCATAATTTTGGTTCATACATAACAAAGCATCGACGACTTGACTTGCCTGGTGGGGAATAGTATGGAATGTATGATCTCTTTGAGGTCGAAGGCTGTGGGTCTGTGGACTGAGTTGTAGGCGAAGCAGGCCTTCATAACCTCCGACAACTTGGGTGGTATCATGTCACTCGGGTTCGGAGACAGCGACAGACCCTCCATCACAAACTTCTCTACCTAGAACGAAGAATAAAACCTGCAAAGAAATCTTTTCCCACATTTTAGACTGGAGATTTTTGTCTCAAAAACCAACAGTTTTTTTCAATATGCAAAAAATCAAACATTTCTTACTTGATCGAAAAATAAAACCAAAAACATAGTCAACAGATAAATGGAAAAAGTCAAAGAACGAAAGGAAGTCAACAGATAAATGGAAAAAAGTCAAAGAACGAAAGGAAAGAGAAATCAAACAGACTTTTTTTCAAAAACGTCAGCGTTTGAATTTCGAAAGAAAAGATATATAGCCTTAAAAGCTCTTTGAATTTCAAGAACAGTTTATGGTTGACACTTTTTTGATAAAGCTAACTCAATTTGTTAAAATGGGATCAATAGGCAAAGTTTTTTTTGCTAAGAAGTATGAAAAAGGAAATTCGCATTCAAAATTAGTCTAACGCTTTTTGTGACCTTCACAATTTTGCTGTTTGATAGTGGAGTTTGCTTTCCTTTCAACAAAGCAAATGAACAGAACTTAAAAAAAACCGCGAAAAACAAACAAAAATCATCAAGACCTATATAAGATTCTTCACAACGTTCGTCGACTCTCATAAATTCGTTTTTTTTTGTTAGCGAAGTATAACTGAAAAACTGAAAATACCTATAAAGTCTTAAAAAAATTAAATGAGAGAACAACTGTTTCTTCCAAAAAAAAACAGTTCTTTGGGTCTTTTCAACAATTCCTGCAAGCTCTATTTTTTGTTCAGATCTTTTTATCACACCACGCAGAGAAAACTACACTAATTCGAAAAAAAATGTATTTTTTCAGACTATGGTCGGAACATTTTGTGCTAATTCCATAGTAACCGCCTATCCTTGTTATACTCGAAGTAATCATAGGATATATCAAAAGTTGCTAGCCCCTCTGAGGATAATCCAATTAGTATATTTTCCCCACATTTTAGTCTGGAGATTTTGGTCTGAAAATAGCCAGACTGTGGCTGAAGCTAGAGGTTATGGCAGAGGCTCGTCCTCTCACACCGTCATTGTCATGACACGGATAAAAAACAAGCTTTGACAGAGCCGTATTCCACGTCTTGTCACTATTCTTAGTACCTCTAGCACAAAATGATGTTTTTCGGCATATTAATTGAAGTCTCTTTTTCAGATATTTTTCTTCGTCGTTTTCTTTTTAATGTTTCTCTTATGAGATTCAAAATAATCTAACAAATTCAGATTTACAAACATGCATTATACACGTTTTAATATCTGTGAATCAATTTCACAGATTGCGTTGCGTTGCTCAAACTTCCAGTCAATTAAATCTAAATTTTTTTAAACAATTTGTCTGTCTACGCTTTTTTAAAGCGGTTTTATTTGATGCCTGCATAAAAATGCAGAAAACTGATAGTAAAAAACAACAATAGATGAAAATTGAAAATCTAAGTGATTTAGTTACACGCATTTTCAAGTGGTTAGTGCTCCGAGCGAATTCAAAGCTTAAAATGAAGCTTAGTTTGCTGTGTATTAGAGAAGAAGAGAGTCTTTTAAACCTGCTTTTCAAAAATGTCCGTCACTTAATTTTGACCACTAATTTGCTAACATTGCTTTTTTTAAACAACACTTATTTTTCAATCAAGAAAAAGTTTTTCATTGAAAATTTATTGGAATGTTCAGTCTTTCGTTGCATTTCGGCTTCAGATAAAGCAAAAAAATTTGAAAAAAAAATAGATCTAGAAAACGTGAATTTGAAAAAATTCTAGGTGGAAATATGTTCGTAAAAGCGGAATAAAATCAGGGCATTGATATGTTTTCATGTTGCCTTAATTGGATTCGTCTTGCCTAAAATTTGACCCGGGGCCCAAATAACCCAGCGCAACTCAATTCACCCTATTGTATGGACACTGTTTGTTCCAATTTGACCTCCAGTAATACTACAGTTTCTCCATTCAATACAATAACTCAATTAGGTCAACCTGAAGATGCGAACAAATGAAAACAAGCTCTCTCAATTTAACTCACAAGTCCCTTGTCGAATTCAATAGATACACTACGAAGATACTAATACGGGTTTATAACTAACTGCATTACCGGTAAACAAGTTATCAATACATTGTAGGATACTTTTGCATAACTGATGACTTTTCCATCTTTTCAAAAATACCCTCGGGTGCAAAAAGAGTACAAAAACATATTGTGTTCTATTTGTAAGAGGAGCATCCATTTGATTAAAACTTCCATTGTTGCTTTCGCCTTATTTTTCCATTAAAATTTCTGGGAACTCGGATGCTCAATTTGGAAAAAACGGTCTAGTGCTACTTCACAGACACACTTACGATGCTCAAGACGGGCAACCATCACTCGTGGTCTTTGTAACATTCCAAATCCATTTTTTTTTGAAAACTTAAAGCAAGATCAGATCCTTCAAGAACAGAAGAAAAATAGTTCTCCTTTTGATTCTGCTGTTTTTACTTTAAAAAGAAGCTAATGCGAAAAATATCAGACTAGCAATCAAGATTTGAGTGTCAACGGGAGACAAAAATCAAAAAGGGCAGAAAATGAACACCTAGCTGACTTTTTTATTCACATGTTGCTTACCTGTGCATCAGTGTACTGCTGGAAAGGGAATTCTGTGGGGTTGAAGCACTGCCAAATCACCACCCCAAAACTCCAGATATCTGTCCCGAGGGACCACAGACGCCCCTTGACCACCTCGGGAGGCCAGAAACGAAGATACTTCTGCAACATCTAAACGACAAATGCCTCCTAAATCCATATTTCAAATTAGAAATGCTAGAGATATAGATAGGAAAAAACAATACAAAAGGCACGTAACGTAGAACGACACAATGAGTTTAACACCAGAGCATGATGTTTCAATGTGACCATCCCTTGTTGCTAATTCCTGACTCACTTTCAGGTTCACTTCAACTTCACTCGTGTAAATATAATCAATATAATCCGCCCTATTCTTGTATTGATTAGCAACTGTATCATGGATTGCACTGGGTCTCAGTCCACACTTCAATATTAGCTCACACGTGGAGGTATTTTAATCAATTCTTTCCCTCCCTTTATGTCTATTTACACCAACTCATGTGGAAATTTGAGAAATCGATTGAAAATTTGTGAATATCAAGTTTTAATAATTTGCAATGGCCCAAACTGCCTCTCAGTGCAACTTTTGAGGCAAACAAACAAAACATTGAGAAAACAAAGAAAAGAAAATAGTTTAGGAAGTCGGGCCCTTTTTCCTTTTCCCCCACCAGCGAATTTTCGCTAGTATTTTCTCTGTTCTGATTGTCCGATTATTACAAGATTTGGCATGCAGACTAATTACGCTATGACAAACATATTTGGTTATCACATCTAACCTTGTACAACTCCTCGTTACGCCAGAAAGTTGATGTTTATGTGAGGTGGAGGGGGGGGGGAGGATGGGAAGAAAAAAGAGTTGGAAGTCGATATGATAGTTCCCATTATGTACCAATAGTGGGCTGAAAGGCAAAACGGTACAGCAAGTTGTAAGAAGACATACCAAATAAGAGGTACAGTCGAAAATATAACCTTTGCTGAATTCTTAAATTGAAATTCTAAATTACAAAGTTTCCTCAAAAATCTTTTAGGGATTTTGACAAAATGTAATGTAATACATCACCCTAAAATAAACAAATGATCCCTATTTACCTCCTCGGGTGCTTTGTTGAACTCGACTCTGTCCTCGAATCCAGCCACTCGACACACTCCATTGGGGTTGATGAGGATATTGTCCGCCTTGAGCACCTAAACAGGCCACAAACAACCAATTAGATCAATTTCTCACAAATTCAAATATACATAAGATAGCAGAAGGGAGTTTGGAACGCACAATTAATTAAGAATTAAGAATAATGAGATTAAATTAAACAGTTATACAAAGTGCAAAAAAATTTGCTGAGTTACAATTATTTGCAAAAAGTGAGGGTTCAGATTGCGCTTAAAAACTTCTATAGACTAGGGGTAACTAGGGGCATAACGCAACAGGAGCAACAACAAGTATTTGGTGAAGGAAGGATGATATTTGGGATACATATTAGAGAAGATCTTGAAACGAATTGCTGGATCTTTGAAATAATGTTAGAAACGATAGAATTTTATCATCCGACCTTAATTTTTCAAAAACAACTATGGCTTCACTCGCTCGTTGGAACGACACTATGGTCTTTTCAAACCTCGCAAGTTTCACTTAGTATTTCTACTGTAGTTTCGACAGATATGAACTTGCCTTGTGTACGTATTGCAATTGCGAGAAGTGCTCGAGGGCTGTGGCGATGGCTCTGAGGTGCTGGAGTTTCTCCATGATGCCCGGCTGGTGCACTCCAGAGGCACTGCAGTACTGCTGTAACGTCATGGACCCACAGTCCTCCAGCAGGAGAGCCAGTTGCACACTTTGCTCAGTACCTGTTAAAACACACTAGTTTTCATCAAGTATATCACCTCACCTTCAGTCTTACTTACATCAACTTAGACCAAAGTTTGGCGTGCTCGCAGCTAAAGCTTCAAAATTTATAAAGCACTGCTGTCAATTTCCAAGTTTTACAGCAAAAACAGGAGAAAATTTGTATTGGGACCAGAAAGCTAGTCTTGATTCGAAAAAATTGTATGTGAAAAAAATCCTCTGCAAACATTCGATCACTTTCGTCCAAAAAACCTTTCGACTATTATACTATAATTCCAACTACTTACAGTACTCGACTACTCCGTGCATCAACACGACGTGGTTGTGTTTAAGCTGAGCGAGTGTGGCTGCCTCAATGACCAGTGCCCTGTATGCACTGCCTCTGCCCTGGGGGTGCTCTTCTGCGGTGGGACAGAACTTCAGGTCCAGCTGAGCCTGCTGTAGTTGGTCATAGTTGTTGCTGTTGTCTTTGCTACGCACTTTACACACTTCGAACTGACCTAAACGGAAAAAAAACTTATACTAAGAAACTCAATAGGGCTAAAAATTTTAAGAGAAACCTTTATCCTTCACAGGCAAAAAGTGTAAAATAATACTGCGATTTTCCCCACAATTTCTTCAAGAACTCGCTTTAGAAAAATTATTACTGACGCAGATAACTATAGTTACTTCTTCCCATATCTTAAAAGGAAACTAAAGCATTAGAGTTAAGAAATGAACCCTAAGACTCAGGTTGGCTACTTCCGAAGTTAAAGCATGAACAAATTCTCAAAGTCGTGTGGGAATATCTCTGAATTTAAACTTTCGGAAGACAGATCAGTTCATAGTTAACACGAGCGATACCTCCCACGCACCACCATATCATGACTCAGGTGTTCCAATCAGTGACTAAATTGGAAGGGGAGGAGTTGTCATTGGATCAGTTGAATCAGTAATAAAGAAGAAGTTTTGAGCCTGATGTGGACTCAAAAGTGGACTCATCAGACAACTATCAGATAGCTGAAGATCTTCCCAATGTAAGTATATTGGTTATGAACAAATATGTCATTTTAAACATATCTTTAATGGTTTTACATGTAATTTTTCTTGGACTCATCCCTTTAGCGTTTGGCTTGCTCATGTTACTTCACGCCTCCAAGCACTTGTTGTTCACGCCCGGATGCACTTTCTAAAAAACTCCAAAACGAAAAAAAAAAACTTTGTTTTGTTTTTTTTTTGCTACCACCAAAAATGCGCACAGAATTTCAACATGGGGTGAAGTATAAGGGATCTCCATGAACAGTTGAATAACTTTTTTTATGCTTTTCCTGGTAAGAATGGTGAACGTTTTAAAGTTTTATCGGCGTTATTGCGGAACTAAGTGCCGAGGATCGAAATAACTCAAAATCAGTGAGCTGCTAACTATTTTAACCTCTTACAGTATCTGGTTATCATTTTTATAAAGAGCATTGAAGTTTGAATATAATATAAACTTTCTGTTGTGGTCTTGTTGACGTAAAACTTCAGTAGTTTTCTTTCATCTAAGTCGATTAGTCTGTTATTAAAACACTCGAAACTGCACCTTTTAATTGCTTCGCTAGTCCAGCAGTAGTTAATACCATCTAACAAGATTTGAGCCGCCCGATAAAAGCTTTTCGAGAGGTGCTGATGATGAATCTTAATTAGTAAGCCGACAAAAGAACATTTTGTATATTTTAACGAACAGGTGATATTCACCAAAATCACGTTCAAAAGCTGATTTCATAACTTTTGTGTAATTGCACATCTTTAGCATACATATATTTATGACACGGGTGATAAAAAAAATTAATTTTTGAAATTCACTTAGATTTGGCGTGTGAATTTTCGCATAGATTTGATTATTCATAACGCCCAACTGAGAAATTTTATTTACAAATGAAGAAATTTTAGTATCTTCAAATTAGTAAATGTCACCTTTATGAATGACTCCCAGCTCAGTTTTAAGTCAAACTAAGTTTGTACCTTTGGACCAGCCCCTTTTCATAGACCGTTTGCTCAAGCTCAAGTTACTTCATGTCCGCATGCACTTTTTTGTTCCCAGCAAAAAGAAACTTTTTTTCAGTATTTTATAGAAAATGCTGGAACAAGAAAAAAATAGAGTGTGTACCTTTCGATAGCATCTGAGAATGCTGTAGTTTTTCCGTGTCCAGATCTGAAATGGGAATATGGACGATCTCCAGAGCGGAGAAGAGATCCTGCCACGATTTGTTGCGACTTTCATAGAGCGGAAGGAGTTCCGTCTCGGGTTCCATGAATCTAATAGCTGCTGGCGACTGATCGAAGCAGAGAGTTCCCCACTCTAAAATTAGAATTCATTAAAAGAGTCTATTGAAAGCACTGCAATAACAAAAAATATTAATAAAATTTAACAAAGTTTAAGCATAATAAATGTTATAATTAACCGTGTAATGAATGGGAACGGTTATGGAGTAATGTTCAAATTTGTAGAGTTAAAAAATTGAGGATCCTTGCTTGAATTCATCTTTTTAAGAAATTTAAAACTAAATTCTGTGATCGTACTTTCACTGTCGTATGTGTTGGTAGTCACATTCGTGATAGGATCATAGTTGAACATATTTAGTGTGGCGTGGTGACTTTTGCTGCCTGGAATCGGAGGAGGGAAGATGTTGTCGCGTCTGGCTCTCAAGAATATGACTGCCAAGAGGAAGACGACAAACAGAATCACCAGAATCAGCCCAACAACTGTCACCAGAAGAGTGGACATATTGGCCGTAGAAGTTTCTAGAATAACTCAGAATATTATTTAGTTTCAACAAAAATGTCCTTCAACTTCACAAAATGGCCATTCATTCAAAATACACTTAAATACAAAAATTTTAAAACCTTCATAGAAATTCATCAAAATTTGGTTCTGAAGGTGTTTCGAACAATGAAGACATTTTGATTGAAAACTAGTTGATCAAGTTAATTAAATGTCATTTTAACTCAAACCACATAGGACTCGATTGACATACGTCAACCGGTCCAAAGACATGTCAAGTGACATCTCTCAAAGAAATTTTGATGATGACAAATAAGGTAGAATATATTTTTTCGCGGCTACATTGCATCTTACATTGCGTCCTAAACTATACTTCGATAACTACATTGAAGGCTAGACGATGCGGGTGAAATAGCTTTCTAAAACTTATCGAGTGGTTAAAATAGTTTTAAACTGGACCTACCGTAATGACCCATATCAGCGAAGATATATCCTAAACGGCTCGATTTTATTCAAAAATACAAGTTTTTTTTGAATTATAATAGATTGATACGTTTATAACAAACAGTGGAACTTTACTAACCCGAGTTAATAGTGATAGTTTTACTGCTCAGTCTAGACAATTCCATCCCATTGAGCTCCAATCTCACATCTGCTCTGTAAGTTCCCTCGATAGTTGACACCGGGTACTCCAGGGACGTCTGGGTGGCATCCACAGTTGACATCCAGATGGAATTACCATCGCAGATGATGTCCACCAGGTAGCGGAAAGAGTGGTCTGCTTTTTCGAGGGCCTCCGGTCGAGACCACTGGACCAGGAGTTTGGGACTGGTGGGGGATCCCACAGGGTCGATTGAGAGATCTCTTATCGAAACTGCAAACAAAAAAAAAACCTTCGTTAATAAAGTCGCTTTCTAAATTGAGTCAAAATTGAAAACGTAGTCAACAGAACGTTGAAAGTGTCAATGAACTCAAAGAATCCGGAAAAAATGATTGACTTATTTTGAACATTTTTCAAATTCAGAAAAAAAAACATCACGTTAGAGCTCCGTTAATTTCAAATGTTTTTATCACTGAAATTTTTTTGGTAAGCCTGACCCAATTGAGAAAACTGGATCAATGAGTGATTTTTATATTTAGCTGTGAAATGAAAAGTCAATGACGTTTTTCATAGCACTTACACTTTCATAAATAGAGAGCATAATTTACCTTCCATTTAGCAAAAAATTGAATTAGGCTTGCTTGAAAAGAAAACAAAACTCAAACCGCTAAAAACCAAATTTCAATGTGATCAAGTTTTTAGACTTTATTCAGAAAAAAACACACGACCTTAATAAGTCTTCCTTTCGTTCATTAATGCTTAATTGTAAATTTTGTATAATCGAAAACTTTTAAAAACAATGCCTAACTTACTATTCCATCCCTCCAAACGTTTAGTCAGAAACAAGAGTAAATAGTAGACATTATAATTTATGTGAGGTTTCTAAATGCTAATTCACAACAGATAAAAATACTGATTATTCGATTTTGTATACATAACCAACAGCCAGTTGAAAAAGAGTCAATCGAAAGGAAACAAAAAAAACCCTCATTTTCGATATTTTATTTAAATGCGAAATCAAAAAATTAAATTCAAATTTCGAAAGTTTTTACTCAGCTGCGAAATCGAAAAATTAAAGTCCAACTTCGAAAACCAAAAATGTTCACTTTTTTGCGCTGTTTCCACGTTTGCATTTGAAAAGTGCTATTTACATAACTTTCAGCAGATGAATTTCAATTGAACTCAAAAAGTGCATATATACCCAAAGGCATTCATAAATACAATATCTACGAATGGAGATCTGTGGCTATTAGAGCATGTTAGACTTTTCCTAAAAGAAAACGAGTAAAAAATCACCAAGACCCATACAGGGCTGATTTAAATTATCGATTAAAAACGATTGAAACTTTAAATTAAAAAGGCATTTTTCTCAAATTGGCTTGATTTAAAAAACGATAAAACCCATCTCGCTTAGAAATTTAGCAGCCTTTATATGCTGTAATTTTTTTTGCGAAATTACGCCGAAAACTTTAAGTTCGATTTCTGACAAAATATACCACAGCAAGCCTCTTTTGTGCCCCAAAAAGTTAAGAAATGTGTAATCCCCAAAAATGGGCGTAAAACGTTCGAAAACTGTTTTCAATTAAAAAATTGGAGATTTATTTAGTAAAAAGGACATTTTTTGGCTATCAAACAAAAATAAATTCAACTGAGAAGATAAATTCAGCTGAGTTTAAACAGCTGAGAAGATAATAGTTTTCTTAAAATTTGTTGAACTTTCCAAGAGGCTGGCTGTGATATATTTTGTCAGAAGTTGAACTAATAGTTTTGGCGTAATTTTTGATTTAGTATAAAAGCCAAAATTGATCAATTTTGGGGTAAAATTTTGGGCCCGAATTTCGCAAAACAATTTACAGCATATTAATTCTAAGCAAGATTGGGGTCTTCGTCTTTTTTTGTTTAAAGTTAACCAAATTTGAGAAAAACAAGTTTTATATTTACTTGTTTCGTCCAGATAATTTAAATCAGCACTGTGTAAAAGTCCTCACTACGTTGAGTGACTCTTAAAAAGATGCAAACAAGTTAAATAATTTGAAACTTTTTTATTTCTGTTTTTCGAAGAAAACCAGTCCAATACCACTAATTTAAAAAATCTATAGTTTTCGTTTTGTGCCTCTTCTTTTCACGGAAAAAACGACACACATTTGAAAGAAAAGTTTTCAAATTTTTATTAATGTGATCAAATCTTTTGTGCCTATTGCACAGCAACCGTCAACTCTTGTTTTAAATCGCAACACTCTTGATTGATGAGGTCCAAAAATTTGGTGCTATGGATTTTTTGTTAAAAACGAACACAGCAAAATGTTATTCAAAATGAGTTTGAATAACATCACAAAAGAAAAACAAAGTCTTTCCAATCCGTAGGACATTCGAAGCCCAAAAATAGATATGGGCTTCAAATGTTTTTATCACTGACTTTCTTATCACTGACTTTCTATTCTTTTAAAATGAATATTCTTACTGTCTTCGGATGTTTTGAACTCGCTCTTTTCACATCCATATGCTTTCCAATCCCCTTCTGATTTCGAGGAAATGAACACATTATGAAATCGATCTTCCTCGAAGCTCGGATTTCGATCATAATTTGGATTCATAATCGGCGAGTAGTCCAGTTCTCGCGTGTCGCAAACAAACACCAACATCTCAGTGTGTGGTTTCAGATCTCGAATCATGACTTCGGGCCGAGACCGCGAAATGTACTTGGAGACCGTAGGTAGTGATTGCGGGTATTCTTTTTTCTCGTACACGTACGCGACATAAGGGACATCGTCTTGAATGTCGTCTCTGGGGATCGAGATGTTTGCCCACGTGTAGTCTCGCTTTAAAATCACTTTCCTAGAACACATTACGTTCATGAGTAAGAAAAAAACATTTCCTGATGTTAATTTAAAACAAAGGACGTTCGCGAGACCTCAGATTTTCGATGATTGGTGCTAGTTGCTTGTGAGGAGGAGGAACTATATTAACCAGTCTAAAAACAACCACTATTGGGCCATACATGTTTATATAGCATGTTAATATTGACAAATGTCAGTCCAAGTTTATTCTTGGTTTTTGCGACACCCATTGTTAATGAAAAATTCACCCAAGCATGATATTAAAAGTCACCTCTATATTAAATTTTCATTAACTGAGCGGCTGATATTAGCATTGAGCTGATTAAACTACTCGAAGATTTATGGTCAAAGTTAGAAAAACAAACAACTTCAGAAGTTCTTTACAGGACTCAAGCTAATTACGCCGTAAGTTGAAGTTATAAAAATTAATATACATGAAAGCAAAACAACAACAACAACTTTGTCACTTTTTGTTCGAAATAATATCAAAATTTTATTAATGAACACAGCATGTTTTGTGATATGATCAAACTCGAAAAATAACAAGCTCATTTTGAATATCTTTTGCCTTTCAGTCAAATTTGAAACTTTGAGCTTAAAAAGACAAATAAAAGTAAAATTAAATTAAGACCATTTATCCACGGGGGAAAGGACCAACACAAGAGCTGTACAGCTCATCACGGCGAACCGCTGTTGTGCCCCTGTTTAAGAACTACATGCAATTTTTTTGGTACTGGATCTTAGTACTTAAAATGATACTAAGATCCAAAATATCAAACGGTTTTTAATCTGATCATTCGAATTAAAAATATTTAAAAAAACACGCTTGAATTTAAAGTATTGACTGAAAAATCCATAACAATGAGCCGTGTCTTTTTTGATCTTATCCGGTTTTCATTATGTCTCGTACAAGTTGTCGCCAATGAGGATGTTTTATACCGGATGTTTGGAAATGAAAAAAGGAAGAAGATTTGCTTGCAGTCTGGAGAACTAAGTATCTAAACGTCAAAACTAATTTACGATTCTGACAGAGACCGACCGGATTTAATTCTGAGATCAAAACCAGCTGCTAAGTGAATTTTGCATCGAATCGGGAATTGAGCATCAAGTCATAATTTAAGCACAATTCGAATTGTATTTGAGTTTTATAGTACAAATCAAAATTTTTGAGAATCGGCAAAAAATGGCTGCCGCTTCCAAAGCTGTCAAAAAAACTTAGTGCAAGGTGTTTTAAAAACTTTTTACCAACACGACTCCAAAACAAGGAAAATCCGAAAAAAATTGGTTATCATTAAATACTAAAAAAAATACGGAGCTAGTTGTAAAAAATGTTCCGCCTACGCATTAAATATCATAGTTGAAAACTTAAGAAAAAATGTTCAACTTTTTAATTATGCAAATAATTTCGCGTATTTTTAAATATTCGTAAACTTTTTGAGATCTACAGAAAAATGGAAAATTTGAAATCCAGTATGAAATTGAAATCCTAATTGTGAAAAAATCAAATATATTTTAAAGAGTGGACTAACAGTGGTTTGCGTGGCCTGTTGCATGGACCTATCGGGTCTCCCTTCAGACGAAACAGACCCAACTCACACTTGCACCGTTCTGTCGTCTCTTCGTCGTACATTGATCCCCGGGGACAGCGCGAACAGCGCATGTTGCCAACTGATGCCTTGTACGTTTGAGGACGACACTCTGAAACACACAGCAAAACCTCATTTTTTATATTAACTGCCTTAATTAACTTCAATTTTCTATTCAGCATGTAAGCTATATCAAAATGTTAATTCAAGTCGAAATTCTCCTGGACTCAATATGTATTTGTCAACTTCAAACGAACTTTTTTTGCAGAAAATTTTATTTTTTCACGGCAGAATTTGCTATCTTTTTGAATTGTTATTTAAAGAAGATATTAAATAATTTCGCATAAATATTTTCGCTTAAAGCAGTGTCCAATCTTTGATATCGGCACTTTATACCCAACAAAGGGCCAATTTTTGCTCTATTGCTCTATCAAATCATTGGAGACGGGAGAAGGGAGATAATAATAGTAATAAAACGCAACTGAACGGTTGAATGTAGATATAAGTCTTCCAATTTTTTTTAGCAAAAAAGAAAAGACTTCAATAACTTTGTTATTATGATGATGATCAAATAATTGAAAAGATCAAACAATTATACCGGAAGTAATATTTGACATGAATAGGCATTAGGAATCTTTAATTCAATTTCGCCGTGGAGTTTTCCAATTAGATCCATAAATTTAAAATATCTCTGAGCTAGTAACTTTAAGCTACAAAATCTAATCCAATAAGCGTACTCTTTGTTTATCACACTTACTCCTAACTGCTGATGGCAGTTGAGAAGTCTTGACTTAACAGGTAGGACAATTGGGCACATTCGCCTCTGATTAGCTCTATTATATCGCATCGTACGTTGATATAGTGACATGTTTCTCTTGCCACGGTTATGCTCAAGTCCAAGAAGAGCAATTCAAGCTTAATTTGATGTTGTAAGACCAGTTATCTAGCCGTGAAAACTTTTACGAACAAAAAACTAACGTAGAACCGGGGTTGAATTTTGATGATAAAAATCTCTACATCCATTGTTAAAATCAATTTTATGCCCGGGAAACATTGCACAACTTCATGCCGTTCATGAAATGGAAATGACCCCAAAAAACGGAAAAACTCTCTTCAAAATCAAGCAACTTTTCAGAAGAATGCATGCATTTTGTAGATCGTTTTAAAAATGACTATTTTTCATTTTCCATAGACTTCGTGCATCACAGATTAAAATTAACATTTCAAAATTCAGCTTTTAAGGTACGCGTCGGCAATTTAAACACTTTGACTTTCTTGACGGGGAAAAACCTGCCAATAAAACCATGTAATCCCTTCTGACTCCATAGAAAGGTGCGCTTGAAAAACCTCAACAAAATCCTCTTAACCCGTAAATCTATTCCAATTAAACGTTAGCAATATGCATTGAAGCCTCTTTTGCCAATTTTTATCATAAAATTTTTAGCTCCATTTTCCTAGAGTGCAAATTAAACCTTCCCAATTACTTCAATTGGATTAAGTAAACACCTCGCCGTGGGATTTTTAAAGGCTAATTAAGTGTTTAAAATTGATTTTAAAAGCTTTTTCATCTAATTTTGGAAGCATTTTGAGCTAAAATACTGAATGCAATTGTGAAAATTCGGATTTGCCAATTCAACTACGTAATCCTCCTTGTTTATTTTTTTGTTGTAACGTTCAAAACGTTGCATTTCCAACAACAACCACTTGAGGCTCAGTAATGGAAATATTCAAGACTTATCCCCGATTTAATTAATATTTCAATGGCAGCTCTAACAAATAGCATTGCCTTTGCACACAGTTCACGGCGACCTGTCTGTTGTACAATCTTAAAACACGCCAATAACCTGCCGTTGATCTGTTGGCTAAATCGAACATATCCGTTATGTTATAAATACCTTCTAAACATTTTTTGGGTCAAATTAAAATCTCTTTCCCGTTGCAAAAAAGTCATACTACGGTCATGATTTGTGTACTGCTGATAGTGAGTTCATAAAAATCATATTAGGTTAGATTATATCATAGATAAATTCCTTCTGTTTGATTCAGAATCATAACCTCGATGAAGCAAGAAATCGTTTTCTCAACTTATGCAATTACACGTAAATTTTTAATTTTCTCGTTTCATGTATTTACGATCTTTCGATTAAACTAGTAGTGTCAAATAGGCAGCAAATGATTCAAAAGACTTCTGACAGGCGATAGTTTTATTATCAGGATCCACCTACGTCATAAAAAAATCTATTTATGCTAAAATAAATCTTGAAGTAAGCATGAAACCGCTACCCTCACAACAAATTTAGGGCGGTTGGATCAAGCATAACAGATTGGCCGGTCCTACTGTTTTTGTAAACTTAATCCCCGGCAATAGAGTATGTCTACGAAGTTAAGCTTTGGAACCTGGGTTGGGTTCCATGTTTCAAATTAGAGACGATCGTTAAATTTTATGACCAGACTTTACTAATGAAGAAATGTATAACTTTGTTTCCAAATATACATAGACTAAATATGAAACACAACTTAAAATCATTTATAGACACTAAAACTTAGACAAACAGTTGATACACCAACATGGGTGAACCGTGCGAGCAAAAATAACCTAGTTAATCAATTAGATGAAAATTAAAAATCCAATTTGGCCAGCGGGAGGCTATTGCAATAAACGACTGACTGATAAAAAAAAAACTAATTAAATTGCTTGATCATAAATAAACTAACTGAAACATTGATCTGGCCTTTGGTCATCTGGTTCGTATCCAGCCTTGCAAGCGCAGAAAGAGCCCGGTCCAATATATGGACGATCCATGTTATGGAAGCACTTCGCTAGTGGAATCCCGCTTGGTGACGTCACAACTGCATTGGCTACGCACCTTCCCGTTATATTTGCCCTATGAATCATTACAACTTCTTTAAATCATCGGACAGTTAGAAAAGTGTCAATGAGCACAAAGAAACAGAAAAAAATCAGAATTTCACGGATTAAAAATATGCCCTTAAAACTCCGCAATTTTCAACTGCAGTTAATGATTTTTTGATAAAAATAACCCAATTTGATCAATGGGTAAACTTTCCATTCCACTGCGAAATCTTAAAAATCAAATGTTCTTTCGCAATTAGAAACTGATCACGTTTTTTGTGACCTTTACAATTCGCTGTTCCCGATATTGGAGTTTGCCTTTTCAACAAAAGAAAAGATAAGAACTTAAGAACTCATAAGTCAAACAGCAAAAACCAAAATTGAGCGCGAGCAAACTTTGATTTCACTAATGTTCATAACCCTTAATAAAAAACGCAAAAAACAGCAAAATTCAAGTTCACAATCTTAATCCAACTCACACAAATAATCTCAGGGCCTATTTCCGCCTTAGTTTTTCACAAACAAATTGCTCGAACAATCCGTCTTAGAAAAATACTCACTTTTTAGTAGCGTTGGAGTGATGACATGTTTCTGGATAGTAAGCAAACGCTTTGGTTTCTGCTGCACAAGTATCGCTACTGATCGCGATTTGCTTCCCAGCAGCATTGTTGGGCGTATCCAAAATCAGTTTCCCGCACAAATTTTCCGCTTTTATGACTAAGTAAAAGTCTTCTTTCTTGGTGAATCGCTCCGGTATGCCAAACAGCACAACCATACCATTCTCTTGTATCATCGAATATGAAAAATTCAACTCTTTGGAGGTTTCAAGAGAGTCAAATTGGTACGTTGTCACTGGTGCCATTGAAAAGTTCACTTTTGTAGTTTTGTTATTTGGAATGTATCTGAAAACAGAAATTATATCATTTTTTAAATACAAATACCTTTCAATATTGAACATCAAAAAAATCGTGAAAATTTTCTTGATACTGGCTGCGGAATAGTATTCGTCTAGTCTTAGCTAAGTAAATTTACCCATTATACAAAAACATTGAATGAAAAGCTTTCTTTGATTTCGCACAATATTACGAGAATTTCGAAAAATGTATTTTTTAAATTTGCCACACAAGTTACTTCAGAACTTTTCAACATTTGAACATTGAAAATTGAGACAAGATGATTTTAAGTTAAACTGCGATTAAATATTAATTTGATGACCACTTGCAAAAAGTATCAGTGACTTTTTGAGAATGCTGGATGCACGGGCATAAAATTTAAATATTTATAACTGGTCTCTTGTTTTGAGAGTGATGCTTGAAAACACAGGTGAATTTATCGGATGTCATTTTTCAGAAGGATACTTTTCACCTCTCAGCATTTGAAACTGGGATATATAAAAATCGACTTCAAGCCGCCTTTATAAATATTATGATATGTGCAATAAAATCACTGTTTAATAACGTAAGGGTCCCTTCTTTCAAGTATCGGGTTAAACGAGGCATGTCTATTTTATTGCTTTTTGTTGATATTGGACACATATTTGACACCTCACAACATTAATCGGGGACTTTCCAAATACTATCCATTCTTGAATTTTATTGCCTTTTATTAACAAGCGTTTTGATAGGGTGGTACAAGATTTGCATGAAAGGGTTTTAGCTCATTTTGCAAACTAGACAAATAAACTATCCCAGTATCAAGATGTTGTTGCAGGAACATTTCAGAAACGAGTCTAATTTAGTCCGAAAGCCTCAAGTCAATATGCGATAAAAACTAACATTGATTGACCGGGTGTTAAAATATATTGTTTATTTTTATGTTTCCCAATTGTAAACAGGGGTTTAATTTGACGAAATAGGTGCGCAACATGAGACCATTAGGCGATTACACTCCCGGGTAGATCGAAGAATGGGTAAGTCAATGCAAAAAATGTATCTGTTTAGTTTGGTCACGTCTGAAAATATTATTTCACGATTGGGTATCCTACTTTTATGGACGAGCGCGCCAAGAAATGTTTTAATTGACAAATAAACTGATATCAACATTGGGTATTCAATATTAAGCTAAGGAAAAGATCTTCAACAAACGTTCAGTAATATATGCGATCTAATCTGAGTGCGATCGCCAGTAAGCTTAGGACTAATTCAAATTTTACGGGTTTGCTGTTTTTCAAAATATTACTAGGGATCCATAAAATATTTTATAGATATCGAAAGTTGATAAGTCATGAAAAAACTGCTACAAAAATGTCTAAACGCATTCAAATTTTACGGGTTTGCTGTTTTTCAAAATATTACTAGGGATCCATAAAATATTTTATAGATATCGAAAGTTGCAAAGTCATGAAAAAACTGCTACAAAAATGTCTAAACGCAAACTCAGTGAGTAAATATAACCATAAAAGCAATTCATAACTCAGAATTAATCAATATTTCTACAAGTTTACTTACGTTCCAGCAAAAGAGGCGACTGACGCACATTCGTTCTTCCGGAAGCGCTCCGAGTACCTCAAGTAGCTAACTGAATTCAGATTGCTGCAACCACTCACGTCTTCGAAAGATCCATCAGACGTCAGCGAAAACTAGAACACAAGCTTACGTTTAGAGGATGCGCAGCCATTCAATATCATCAAAATACAGAAGAATTGAGAAGAATACAAAAATAGAAGCAAAGGTAGCCGGTTACTGTGCAAGTAGCAGCACAGAATGTTCCGTCCATAGTCTTTAACAAACTACAAAAAAATGTTTTTCCAAATTATCCTTTTTTTTCTGCGTGGTGTGATAAAAGAATCTGACGTAAAACTATAATTTAGACATATTCAACAGTCAAAGTAATATCGGCAAATTAGACACAATTATTGAAAAAAAAATTAGAAAAATAATCAAAAGAAAACTTCGAAACATTTCTTTTTCATTATTTTTGGAAAAATTTTGAAATTTTTCAAAATTTTTGGTTCCCAAATTGGCGCTAAAAAATTCCAAATACTAATTTTATTTGCTTGAAACTAAGTTTCCAGGGCTTAATTTTAGTAGAAATAAGCTGTTGTGAGCCTGCTTGCTCGCTTTATTCGCTCGAAAATAAAAACAAAAATCAAAAATTTCAAACAAGTTTTTCTCGATACAGAAAAAAATTTCGAAAATTTTTTAGGTCGTTCGAATCACACCTCAAAGGGCTGTAATTTAATTTGGTATATCATTCAAACCATTCCGATGATTATTTGTTGTACCTAATTTTGCGTACTAAAACAAACGAAAAAAAATCTAAAGCACACCCGAATAACAAAGTTCTCATTTTTCAAATGGTCGAAAAAAAAAGAAAAAAAATGGAAGAAAATATTACATCTAAACACCAAAACATGCTTTTACCAGGCTTTGTTTATCAGAAAAATAAAACTTATTCGATTCGAACCTTTAATATTTCATTCTTGTAGTCCGATTTAACTTGACAAGGCGCGAAAACAACGTTCTTTTATCCGGTATGGAATTAATTAAACTTACTGCGGGGTTCAGTATGAACTTGCACAAAAGTAATTCTTTGAATTTTAGCTCCATGTGGTGGGTTTCAAATCTAGATACTCCGAAAATTTCTTTCTTCTGCCGATTATTACTTCCATGCTACGGCTAAGGTCAAAAATAGGACAACCCACTCAGACTATTAATCATTTCACTTCAAACTAGTTTGTATCGTATTCTTCATATTTATTGGGCAGCCATTAATATCCAGTTAACCTAAATCAATATTATATTTTCTGAGAACAATTCAGCCATTACGGTCAAGGCTATAAGCCTTTTCCAACTTTCAAGAGCATATCCTGTTTTTTTTTATTGAAACCTCTCTTTCCCAGTCAGTCAATAAAAATGTTATGGATTAGCTATCTCAGCGAAGTAAGTCAATGTTAGAATGGCTACATTAGTCTATGTCTCCTAAGAAAAAATGGGTTACGAGGATGAAAACATCAGATAAAAGGGAAATTGTTAGGCGGGTTGTTTTAGCATTCTGTTTGCTCGTTGCTCATTTTGCCCCAGATAATGCTAATAGCTAAAGACGCGGATTTTGTTCTGAAAATACCAAAAACCCAAGATCAACGAAGAAAAAAGAAAACACAGTTGTATCTGCAGACTGAAAGTCTTTTGACGGTTTAATAATAAACCTAGTTAGCATTATATTCATGAAAGAGCTCAAGAAATGAAAAAGCGAGGGTTGCTTCTACTTTTTAGCAGGATGAAATTCATTCAACTCTTTGAGAGAGCCTAATAAATATTTCATGAGTCTTTTTCCATCCATTAGGCGTGCACATCCGACCAATGCCCGCACTTATAACTTCGTTATTATTACTAGAGCTAATCAATCAAGCGATGGCCGAGCAACTTAACTTATTCCCACCTTTTACATAATTCAATCAAAAAAAGTCATAAATAAATTACGACGTGAGAAAAGGTGAATGAAATTAGCTCAACTGTGAACAATACGCACAGCATAAATCCTCATAAATGTTTATCTAGCCAGAAGATTTGCCAATTAAAGAAAAAGGTTCGCGCAGAAAAATCATATTTCCGCATTGAAAAAATCATCCATTAGCAGTATAGTATTATCATATTTTAAAGATCAATTATTGAAACAAAAATATTAACCATTCAGAAAATAATACTTGCGTTGTTAAAATAAAAGCATTACAATTAGCAAAAGTGAAAACAAGCCCTGTGCAAAGGCGAGGTGGTGTTGCGCATGAATGAAGGGGGCGGGGGGGGTGTGATCTTCTAATTCAGGCCGAGTTTTAATTCTAGTTCGACTGACATATCGATATCTTCACAAATTGACAACATCAATCCTCATCCCTCAGATGTATACAAAATAAAATGTAATTAGGCGCCGCTGTCCCAAAAAAAGTCGGAAGGCGGATGAAAATTAGGTGATTGAATTACCGCTCTCAGTTCTTTCAATTGTCAAAATTTTAGGGCTGAGGGCCATCGAGGTGTTATAGCACCTATCCGGAATCCAGACCTCAATTTGGGAAAACAAAATGAAGGAAGCTCGAGAACAATTCATGTAGCCCAATCAAAAGGTGAAATGTCGCTCGCAGAATGGGTAAAAACGATACTCGACAAATTCAAAAGTGAAAATTGTAATTAGCAGCTCAAATTGGGTGGGGGTTTTAAGTCAAAAGAAAACGCGATCACCACAGAGGAAATGGAAATTCCCCTCTGGGACTGAAATTACCCAAATGACGGAAACAAAAACGGGCTTCTTGTCAAAAACAACAAAAATTGCCGAATTTAGGTCTTGTAATTAAACCCAGTGCAAGGGTTTGATTTCGGCAAAATAGGAAAAAGAATATCAATTGTGACATTATAAAAGGGTTCTTATTTAAGTACAACTGACGTTTGAGAATAGTACACTTGGTCATAGGCCTCAAAAAAATACGTCAACCCATTAATACTGAAAAGGTTCTACTTCTCTTAAGTATGTAGGAGTAGAGTTTTCGCCACAAAGGATTTGTTTAATTGTTAGTTCTTTTCCCTAATACATTTTTACCTCATGTCAAACATTTTTACCAAATGTCAAACAAGCAGTCTCAGGTTTTAAAAAGTGAAAATTGAAAACATTTTTTAATGCCAGGATTGCTGACATTTTTGACACATTTTATTAAATTTAGGGCTGAGGGAGGGTGTTTTGGGCGGACAATTTCAAATAAAAATTTATAATTAAATAAAGGCTTTTCCTCACATGCCACGAAAATTCAAATGCCACATGCAACACAGAACTTCACAATTTCCAATTACTTCTAAGAACATCTAAGATTCCATAAATGAAAAAATCTCAAGGCTAAAATATATTTGCAATTTGCAAAAAAAATAACGAACGGGTTTTATAAATGCCAAGCCTGCCAGATAAACTTTTCTTTTGTACTAATTAGACAATGAAACATGCCGACAGAAAAAGACAAATTCTAAAGGTAAATGTCATTAATACATACCCCTGGTTTGCCGCCCATAGGTTGCCATGAATTCGACATTAAACCTGAAACAGAATTTGGCTCCTGATCGTCCATAAACTCGATTAAACTATTAGACCAAAATATTTTGTGCATGCTACGGGTGATTCTTAATTATACCATAGGAGGGGAGGGGAGGGGTGATAAGAGATCTTGTTTCCTATTTCGAATGTTCCGTTTCTGGATATGGGTTTTATAATTGAAGCATTCAAAACAAAACTTACAAAAGGATCTCTTCTCAAGAGTTTCATTTCTCTACCAACAAAAGTATGAAAAAAGTACTTAGATTTACAAGATTGACTTGTTTAATTTATGAAAAGTGCTACTTTGACAACACTTCGAATTGGCGTCAAGCGGTTTATGCTACGCATAACTGCTTCAAAAACTCCTACTTATTTTTCACCAGAGAACAAATCTTCGTGTGATGTTTACAACTGTTGTTCTACAATTGCTTTTTCAAGTTTTTCAGCGTTACTGAACAGCAGTATCTCAGCTAGTTTTTTTATCATTTCAATTATTTTTTCGAATTTGGTAGAAAGCAACTAGCAAAACTTGAGAGTAATTTTAGATTCATTTTCAATGGCAGTCGCGTTTACTTCGACTAAAATGAAAGTGTCCAAATCTGAATGACCATCAGGTGCACTGGGAATATATAGGATTTCTCGAGGGGGAGGAGGGGAGGAGGGGATTTAGGAGCATTTTGTACGCGTTTTTTAGAGGCCTTTATGGAGAGTTTTACCCGAAAAAACTCTCCGCTCTCTGATTAATATACATTGGCGCAAAAGATTGTTGGAACAAAACTGGATTTTCAAAACTGTAACCTTTGGGTGATCAGGTGACAACTTTAGAGCATTACCTGGTTGTGAGTTGATTGCCAAACTGAAGCCCAGTAAACTCATGGAAATTTGAAGCAGAATTATTACGGAGAACCTCGTCATAACTAGAGAATAGGTTTAGGATCCAATCTGAAACATCCATCAATATTGGCTCAACATCTCAAAGAGACAATGGAATACATAAACAATGGATTTGACATATAATGAATGAAGTCTCATTTTCCATTAATTGTGAGCCGTCATATCAATAACTAGGTCAACAACTCCCGTCAACAATTTTTAGTAAATAGGGTTCACATGTCATTAGTCATTCATTGGTTTCTTAATTATTTCAATCAAATTTTGAAGGAGAACGGGTTCGAATATGTTTGTCTTACATGAAGATTTTATGCTTCAAATAGTTACTTTTGAAGAAGAATTGGTTCAGTTGTTGTGGTAAATCGCCACCGGCTGCAGATAACTTCAAAAAACGCACACCGCTCAAAACGCAAGATGAAAGAGGTCAATTCGTGTTCACCTTGATCTTCAAGCGAAACTTAAACGACCGGTTACCGTTGAGCAACTAAAGTTCACATCCATTGAAACAAAATTGTTTTTCCTTCGATCAAAAAACGGAAGGCAAAAACTCTGTTTAGATCAATAATGTCCCAAAAAAATTGACCCGAAATTGTCCCTTCAACATACCAACCGCCAAACCTGACATTTTATACGCTGAGATACAGTATGAACAAATATTTTCAATGAAAAAAAGTTCGATCATCTGCATGCATCAGTTTCAGTTTATTCACACTGAAGGAAGGCGGTTGAAAATTGATTTGACAAGGCTAATTCAGCCCTGAAACTAATGACGAAATTAAAAAAAAATGACCATTGAATTGAAATCTTACCTTTCAAAAAAGTTCACACCAATCGGTTATCCGCAAGCAAAGCAGTCAAAACTGGATGTTGATCTTTGAAGTTGCTATCAGAGAGAAAGTTTGGGAAATATTATTTGCATAGTTGGAAGAGCAAAAGTAAAGTAAATTCGTAAAAATCGATTTTAATTATTTTAAAAGTTAAGAAATTGTCAAAGAAAAACAGAAGATGAAGATGAACAGTTAGTGTTTTGAACTGTTTCTTCGAAAGTAATCACACTTCGTTTTCTTTATCTTCAGCAGACTTAGATTTAATCCTGCTTCTTTCATGCGTAAAATTTCATAATTCGCCTTTCGTCCAACTAATAAAGAGACCTTTTACGTATTATTTTCAGCCAATTAGAGTAGAGAGAAATGCCTATTCCTTGTAATATGCAGCTTGCAAAACATGTGAAATCTTGAAATTTGGATAGTATTTCAGCATAATGTAAGTCAACAAAATATGAATGGAATTGAATTGCTGAATGCTGTTGCTATACTTATGATACAGAAACGCAACTCATCAAATTTGTAAACACCTAAAACTCGAACGATTTATGAAAGTTGAAAAACAAAAAGTTATTTCAGATAGTTGTAGGCGTTTTTGTGGTCAGAAGCGATCAAGAAAGTAATAAGAATTTTTTTGGGTAAATTCTCAACTTTTAATAAGATAAACGTGTTTTTTATTCTTAAATTTTTCGACTTAACGGATAGTTTGTTCATCTAGTGAAATTTCCAGTTTGCTGGCCGGTGACTCAAATGAGCTTCCCTTTCATCAATTTCATTCAGAAGTTCCAGACACAAAAGAAGAAGTGGGCAAACGTACTATCGATTGTTTTTAAAGTGTTTTCTATTCATTACAGCTGTAGTAATTTATCCCCTAATCCCCTAATTACCCCTTATTTGACAATATCCAGTTTAAGGACATCTCCAGAATTGTGAAAGGATATACAGAATTGTGGGGCATTAAACGACAAGCTAAGTAGAAGCTCGTAACCATTTTCACGCATTTTGCACACAAACTGTCTAAATTCAGTTAGTTTCGTATCGTCTAATTTGCTTTCTCATTTCCTAAATCCTCACAGATTTGTTTTGAGACATCCACTGAAACTTCTACTGTTCTATAGATTGAGAAAAGCCTCTGGAAACAGCTATCTGGCTCCGTGACTCTCGTTTCTAAGGAATTTTTGTAAGTTCTTTTTTGGACGATATCAATCTCAAATTATCAGCGCAGCTTAACAGTTGTTGGACCAAACTGGTTTTTCTGTCTTTTCTGTGATCTATACTGACAAAATGATGAAATGATTCTTCCAAAATAGCCTCAAACAAAATATTTTGTCCAGTTTTTTTTCCATTTTCCAATTTAGAATTTGTCCGAATATGAATTGAAATATCTCATTTTTGCAACCCTCCAGGTTGAATGCTGGGAGCATCAATTCGGGTATTAGGTTCAACAAAGTTTGTTTGCTATAATTCAAGCTTTCAACGTTTTGCTAGAAAAAACACACCTCAGGCCTAAGTTTGATCCCAGTTTTAGTGGTCGGAACAAAAATAATCCAAACTTCAAATAGAAGCAGGAATCTCTTAAAAGCATATCATATTATATTGTGTTCAGTTGGGCAAAACATGTTCAGTTCAACAACAGAATGAACCGATTGACTGAAAATATAAATTTTCGAATAGTTTTTTAGTCAACAAAGTTTCTACCTTTCAAATTTGTTTTTCTGAAAAACTTATAGCTTGACCACCTACTCCGCTAGGTTCATTTTATCTCAAAGACAAAGCCGCGAGAGCAATGAACCCAATTGTTTAGTTCAAAGGTTCTTTTTTCCTACTCACAACCCGGGCTGAGGTCCGTGACTCATGTTGCGACCGAATTGGGTTGCCAAAACGGGCTTTCTGCGACCGAGATTCTAAACTCCCGCAAGAGGCTTGAGTCTCACAAAGCCGCAACATGGGTCGTACAAAGTCGCAACATGCATCGCGCAAAGTCGCAATATGGGTCGCGCAAAGTCGCAAAATCAGTCGAGCGAATTGTAAAAAGTTTCGAGCTGTTAAAGTATTGGAAGTCTTGTCAGATTGTTTTGCTTGCATCAGCATACAAATTGCAAAATCCATAATTACACACCCAAGTACTTATATCCAAACATATACAAGTAGATCAAAATGCTTACCCTGAAATCATTTTTAGCGTACGAAACCTATTTTCAGCGTATAGGACAAACACAGTGTCGTAAACAGAGTCGAGATTTTTTTCTCGGTCCAAACGCTTCTCGGTTGAAAAAACACTAGGTCTAATTCAGTCGATACGCTTTTGCTCGGTCGAGCACAATCGGAATGTTTTTCCTCGGTCGAAAAAACTCCTCGGTCGAAATGTTTTTCCTCGGTCGAACATTTTCAAATTATAGACAGCTTGGGTCTAGTCGGCCAAAACATATCCAGCCTGGGTCGAGTCGGTCGAAATAAAAATCACATACCTAGGCCCGCAACGAGTCGCAACGATCGCAACGTAGCTTTTTTGGATCGGTCAAAGTCACAACATCATTTTTTGGGTCGCACAAATTACTTCGGTCGCACAAGGTGGCAACATACTGACTTTGAGTCGCAATGGTCGCAACATACATTTTTTGGGTTGCGCATAAAAATTCTTCGGTCACGCAAACTCGCAACATACCCATTTTGAGTCGCAATGGTCGCAACATAAGTCCCGGCCTCGACCCGGGAAGATTTTTGCAGAAAAATTGCCGCAGCAAATTATATAATTTCTCTGGTAAAATTAATGAGTCTTTTTACTTTAGTTTAAACCAATCAAGTTTCCGCATTCCCTTCACTAGTTTTCTAAATTGAGATATGATCTTTGGGTGAAATAAATAGAAAAGATCCTAATTGGTACTTCAATGTACCAACCAAGACTGCTCGCATCAAAGCCGCGCCGTGAATGTTCTAACTTACTTTTGGGATATTCGCAGCAAATTTTAGCTAATCAAACTCGATCAACACGGCAAGCATTTTAATCAATATTTTCAAGCAGATAAAAAAATTATTCGAAACATCTGAAAATATGGAATTTTGTCAAATAATTAAAATTAGTATCGAGCCAAAGTCAAGAAAAGTGCAGTAAAATGGTCTCAGAACAAAATTTCGATGTTTTCGGTCGCTTCCGCTGATAATTATTCTGCTTGAACAAACAATTAATTGAAATGCTGGAACATGCTAATTCCATTAGCCAATCAGATACAACCACATTAACTTCAGTTCAGTTCAAGATGTATAAATGCTAATTTTGAGCTGTTTAGTGCATAAAACCTTTTTTCAATCCATGGAGCTTTATTTGATTCAATTTTTCAGCGCATGAGCACACCTGACTCTGCGCACACCTGACTCAATTTTGCGAAAAACAATAAAGCACACCTCAAACAATAAAGCACACCTCAAACAATAAAGCACTCAATCAATGGCGGATTGGGGGGATGGGGGGTTTTCGACCCTCTGATGACCTACAGAATCCTCCCTTTGATACAATTTTGAGACATTAATTTTTTGGCTAACCGAACCTTAAAACTTTCTTAAGGCGCCTCTGGCACCAAGACATACTAATTTGAGGTTTTTTCGTTGAGTTTTTTCTAACAGCGCCTAAAAGCTATTTTTGGTCCGCTTTTTTAAAATTAGCCTCTGGTGCAGAAAAGTTTATCAAATAGGGTCTTAAGAGTCATTTGGGAGAACTTATAAAACCAATTTCGTCGACCTGAAAGGCCAATAAAATTTCCCAAATTTTTTTGCAATCTTCCCCCTCATCTCCACTGCTCTCGAGAAGATCCTAGATTTGCCCCTGCTCATGAAAATTCTCTTTTAAATTTTTCAAAATGGCATTTTCAAAACTTAACCCATAACGTAACAAGAAAAAACTCACAGCGGATTTTTTTTTTTGGTAAAATTTCTGAAGTTAGGAGGGCATCAATATTTTTCAAATTGTATGTATAATTCCACCACAAACTATCCGATGAAAGTCAAAATTTTGGGTATAAAAAACCCCGAGCACAAACATTTCATAACTTTTTTTCAGAAGTCGAAACAATAGAGTTCCAAATTGTTATACAAAAATGTCTTTCGCAAAAAATTCTTTACGCGTGCGTAAAACTTCTTATGCAAAAAAATCCCTATGCAAAAAAAAAATTATCCATTTATAAAAAAAATGTAACGTTCTATAAAATTTTAAGCTTTTAAACGACAAACCAG